ACTGTTGTGTTGGTTTTTGTGTATGGAGTGAAGTGTGGATCTTGCTTCAGTTTTCTGCAGAAAGTTTTCCAATTTTGCTAAAACATTTGTTTAAAAGGCCATGGTTAACGTAACTGATTTTATCTCCTTCTCAAAAAAATCAGGTGTCCATAGGTAGATGGGCTGATTTCTCAATTCTATTTCATTGATCTATATGTCTGCCATTGTCCCAGTACCACGCTGTCTTCATCACCACGGCAATGTAGTAGGATCTTAAATCAGGGAGATGCCTCTTACCTTGTTCCTCTTTTAAAGGAGTGTTTTGCTTATTTGGGAACTCTTTCCATTCCAAATGAAATTGGAGATTGTCTTTTCCATCTCATTGAAGAATGGAATTGGTATTTGTATTGGGATTGCATTAAATGTGTAGACTGCCTTTGGTAGGGTTGTTATTTTCACAATATTGAGCCTTCCTATTCATGAACAAGGTATATCCTTCTATTTTTTCCAGGTCTCTTTTTGCTTTTTTGGTAGTAATGTTTTGTAATTTTCTTTGAATAGATCCTTTGTGTTTCTGGTTAGCTTTACTACCAAGTATTTAATCTCGTGATCAGCTATTCTGAAAGGTATTGTTTTTCTTAGCTCCAGTTCTGTATTTTCTTTGTCACTGTAGAGAAATCCAACTGATTTTTGTATGTTGATCTTATATTCTGCCACTTTGCTGAATTGGTCAACTGTGTCCAGTAGTTTTCTTACTGAGTCTTTAGGTTTTTCTAAGTATACTATCATATTATCTGCATATAAAGATAATTTTATCTTCTCTTTGCCAATCTGGATACCTGTTATTTCCTTCTCTTGCCGCTAAGACTACCAATACAATACTGAATAGGAGAGGTGATAGTGGGCATCCTTTCCTAATTCCTGTTCTCAAAGGGAATGCCTTTAATCTCTGTCCATTGGGAACAATGTTGGCTCTCAGGTTTGTTTATATACTTTTGGCTATGTTGAGTAAATTCCCCTCTAATCCTATTTTGTTGAGTGTTTTAATCAGGAAAGAGTGTTGGATTTTGTCAAAGGACTTTTCTGTATCAACTGATAGGATCATGTGATTCTTCTTCTTTGCTTTGTTAATGTGATGAACTACACTGATTGTTCTTCTTATGATGAACCATCCTTGCATACCTGTTATGGATCCCACTTGGTCTTGGTGAATTATTTTCTGATGTATCGTTGGATTCTATTGGTCAGGATTTTATTCAGGATTTTTATAACTATGTTCATGTGAGAAACTGGCCTACTGGTGTCTTTACCTGGCCTACATATCAAGGATGTTTGCTTCATAGGATGCATCTGGGAGCATTTCATCTTTCTCTATCTCTTGAAATACTTTATGTAGAACTGGTGACATTGCCTGAATGTTTAATAAATTTCACTTGTAAAACCATCTGGTCCAGGGCTTTTTTTCGCTGGAAGTTGTTTTATTATATTTTCATTTTCTTCTTTTGTTATGGGGTCTGTTCAGGTGTTCAATTTCAGTCTGCGTCATTTTAGGTAGGTAGTGAATTTGAATTTCTAAGTACTTAAGATCTCTAGGTTTTCACATTTGTTTTAGTATAGTTTTTCATAATACTCAATTGTTAACCTTTTTAGTTGGTTCTGTTCTGATGTTGCCATTTCATTTTTTATTGGGAATATCTGTTACTTTTGTTTTGCTAGTGGTTTGTCAATTTTATTGACCTTTTCAAAGAACCAACTCCTAGTTTTGTTGATGGTCTGAACCGTTTTTCGGTTTTCTATTTCATTTATTTCCACTTTAATTTTTATAATTTGTTTTTTTAGAGAGTGTTGGGTTTTCTTGCTGTTCTTTTTCAATTGGCTGGAGATGTTGGGTTAGAGAGACAATGGTCATTTTTTCCTGCTTTTCATGTGTTTGCTTATTGCTATAAACTGTCCTCTGATTACTGCTTTGGCTATATGAGAGAGGTTTTGGTAAGTGGTATTTTCATTTGTGTCAAGAAACTTACAGGGACCTCTGGAGGCCTACTGGCAAAAAGCTGCACTGTAATTCCAGAGGTATGCAGTTCAAATCCACCAGATGCTCTGCTGCAGGAGGGGCAATCTCCTCCTGTACCAGTCAGATCTGATTTGATGGTACATACATAAAAAAAAAAAAAAAATAATAAAAATAAAGGGAAACTTTTAAATTTCATTTTTTATTTCTTCTAGTACCCATTCATGTTCAAGCAAGGTGTTGTTCAGCTTCCAAAATGTATGGTGTGTTCTTCTTTATCCTCTTGTTATTAATTTCTAATTTTGTAGCATTGCTTGCCTTGTGGCCTAAAACGTGACCTACTCTGGAAAATGTTCCAGGCACGTTGGAGAAGAAGTTATACTGTGTTTCTGGGGGGTGCATTAGCCTGTATCTATGAGGTCGAGTTGGTTTATTGTGTGCTTTAATTCTTGAGCATCTTTGAGTTTTTTTCTGGCAGTTCTAGTTTTTCTTGAGAGTGGTGTACTGAAGTCTCTAGTTTTGTCTATCTCCTTTTCCAGTTTTTTTAATGTTTGTTTTATGTATTTTGCAGGTCTTCTGTTTGGTGCATAGATATTATTATGTCCTCTTGTTCTAATGACCCTTTAAGCATTATGTAGTAGCCTTCCTTGTCCTTTGTGATGGTTCTTGCATTCAAATTTATTTTATCAGAGATTAATATTGTTATTCCTGCTTTTTTTGGTTGCCATCTGCTTGGTATATATTTCTCAAGCCTTTTTGTTCATTTTTCATGTACGTCTCTTGTAGATGAAATATTGATAAGATTTTTTGTGTGTGTGTGTGTACCATCAAATCAGATCTGACTGGTACAGGAGGAGATTGTCCCTCCTTCCCCGGCAGAGCATCTGGTGGATTTGAACCGTTCACCTCTGGGATTGTAGTTGCAGCTCCTTGCCACTAGGCCACCAGAGCTCCCCGAAATATTGATAAGATTTTGGGTTTTTTTTTATCCTATCTGCTACTCTTTTTCTCCATTCACATTCAGTGTGATTATTGAGAGGCAAGGTTTTATTGCTATCATTTTGTTTGAATTCTTTTTGGTGTTGTTGCTAGTTACTGTGGTCCATCCTGCTCTCTATGGCACCTATGTAAGAAGGATGTCTCTCAGTGTTTCCTGCAATGCTGATCTTGTGTTTACTAACTCCCTTAGGTTCTGTTTTTCTGGGAATATCTTTATCTCCCCTCCATATGTGACATACAATTTTGTGGGGTAGAGTGTTCTTGGTTTCAGTTGTGTTGAGTGCTTGATATACATCATTCCATTGTCTTCTTGCTCACATGGTTTCTGCTGAGGAATTGGTACTTAATCTTAATTGCTCTCCCTTATAGGTTTCTTTATTTTTCTCTTGCTGCTTTCTGAATTCTCCCCTTAACTTTGGTTCAGGCAAATTTGACTATGATATACCTTGGTGTTTTTCTTTTGGGGTCTATTCTATATGGAGTTCACTCTGCTTCTTGAATATATATTCTCACATTCTTCACTATGCCTGGGGAGTTTTCTTCTAATAATTCGTCCACAGCTTTTTCAGTGCCTTTACTTTCTTCCTCCTATTCTGTTCATGTTATTTCTCTTGATGGTGTCCCACATAATTCCTAGGTTTTCTTCTTTTTTCCTTCCTTTTTGATTCTGCTTTTTGCTCTGGCAGACCAGTGGTGACAATTCTAGCTCCTACTTCACTGGTTCTGTGTTCTATCTCTTCAACTACTCTGTTTATGTGTCCCTCCATCATGTTAACAGCCTCTGAGACATAGGACCTCATATTCTGGATCATGGTTTCTTGTTTTTCCAGAGCCTTTAATGCCTCATTTATTTTATCTGCTTTGTTTTGGACTTTTTTGAAAACTCCTCCTGGTTTTTGCTTGCAGTGTCCTGTAATTCTTCAAGTTTGTCTTTCACCATTAAAAATATTCAATTATTGTTCTTTTAAATTCTGTATCAGAAAGTTCCATCAAACCTCTTTGCTTCAAGAAATCCATTTATACTGTGTCACTTTTTGGGGGTGACAGCTTGCTCTGAGCTTGTGTGAGGTAGCCTGCTTCTTAGGTGACATTGCTATGGTAGTTTTTCATGCCTGAGGTGATAATGATAGGTTATCTGAATAAGTGCTCCAGAAGACAGTGAGGCAGCTACCCTGCCATTATTTCTCTTAGAACTTCTAACCCAAGGGAAGTTTCAGCTCAGGGCCTGTGAAAGCAGCCTCTTATGTTGCACCTAAGTCAGACAAAGATGTTCTCGATTAAAGGCAGTTAGTTGACTGTACATGAGGTACAGGCATGGAGCAAGTATGCGCTGGGACCTCAATCAAATTACAGCTGTCTGGCCCGTACTCGGCAGCTCGCTGTCTGGAGGGGCTCACGGTCCAGCCACTAATTTCTTTTATATGTCTACATTTTTCTAAGGCAATATTTATGTTCAGAAATAGTAAATAAGTTAAAAAAATTACACTATTTTTCTTATAGAAATTGGATGCTGGATATAGATCAGCTAACAAAGTTGATACCATGCAAGTAAATGTTAGTCACAGTAATACATTTTCACACTAAAGAAAGAAAGAACAGCCTATAAATCCCTAAACACACATGAACTCTTCTGTATTGGCAAAGATATTCTCATATGTATCATGATGATATGCTAAGGCGCTAACTGCAAAATTTGTAACTTTATAATGATTTATGATACACTAGCTCTGTGTAAGTGGTTGCACTGTTAACATAAATGTAGTGCTTCTCTGGAAGCTCAAAAACACCAGTGGTTCAACAAGAGAAGGATGGACAATCTCCTCATGTGTGTAATTTACAGGCTCTAAAAACTCATCAGATTGTCAGTCATCAGGGTATTTCAACATGAGAATAAATTTGAGAATTAGATTAAGTTTATAGAGCTTAGAATTAAAAAAAAGCTAATACTCCAAATTCTAAGGACAGATGATTTTTAGAAGACTCTCCTAATACATACTCCCTCCCCAAATACCTTATCCTGTTGTGCTTTAAGTTCTTCATACTGAGTCTTGTATCTACGTCCAATTTTCTTGACTTGTGTAATAGTTTTTACTTTCTCTTGGATATCAACAATTTTGGCATCCAACTCCTTCTGAATGTTTTCCTTTTCAGTTCTTATTTTATTTAAATCTTCCCTTAGACTCTGGATTAAGTTCTGGTTGTTTGTTAAAGTTGCATTTGACCTTTGAAAAGACAAGAAAAAAAGTATAAATATATGAATTATTTCTCAAATTTTAACATAATTAAATTTAAATTTCTATGGTCTTTTTTTAATATTTTACACAACAAAATGGTGGTACTCAGATTCTGATCCAGAGAGTTGAGAGCAACAACAATACTGTATGTATTTCATGAAGTGATGCCAAACTTTGTGTGTCAGACAGTAAAAAGGCTAAGTTTTGCAGAATATAGTTTTTTCATATCCCTTAAAAAAGTAAAAATAATCCTTAGCAGGCTGTCCTATACAAAATCAAGAAATGGTTGATGTTTAATCTGGGGTTTGGGCTGCAGTTTGCCAACCCCTCTATTTTACTGTAAATTGACTATAATGTCATATAAATCTGAAGACTATAACTTTAACAATATTTATTAGGTGCTGTCGAGTCGAGCATGACTCATAGCAACCCTATGAAAAAAGATCCAAATCCTGTCCTATCCTACACCATCCTCACAGTTCTTGACACACAAGAGCCCATTGCAGCAGCCACCATATCAATCCACCTGCTTGAGGTTCTTCTTCTCCCCCACCAACCCTCTACCCTTCTCAACATGTCCTTCTCTTAAAATCACCTCCTAGTAAAATGTGCAAGTATGTGAGGCGAAGCCTCATCCTTCTTGCCTCCAAAGAGCACTCCAGCTTTACCCTAAGACGTATCTGTTCATTCTCTTAGCCATCCATGGGATATTCAGTGCTCTTCTCCAATGCCACAGCTCAAAGGCGGCAATTCTTCTCTCCTTCTTATTTACTATCCAGATCTCGTATACGTAACTAGTAACTGGAAAGACTATGGCCTGAATTAGACACATGCTAGTCCTCAAGCTGACATCAGTACTCCTCAATAATTTGGAAAAGTTCCTAACTGCAGATTTTCCCAGTGCAAGGTCTCCTTATTTCCTGGCTGCTTGTACCAAAGATGTTAATTGTGGATCCAAGCAAGATGAAGCTGTTGACAGTTTCAATATCCTTTCCTTCCATCATTATACTACCTATTGATCCAGTGCTAAGAATCTTGGTTTTCTAGATGCTGAGACACAATCCATACTGAAGGTTGCATTCCTTGATCTTCTGCAACAAGTGCTTCAAGCTCTACTCACTTACAGCAAGGTTGTATCATCTGCATAATGAATGTACTGATGACCCCTCCAATCCTCATACCACAATCCTCATCACAGAGTCCAGCTTCTCAGATAATTTGCTTAGCATATATTGAACAGGTATGGAGAAAGAATACAACCCTGATGCATGCCCTTCCCAGTTCCAAACCATGCAATGTTCCCCTGCTCCGTTCACACAATAGCCTCCTGGCCCAAGTATAGGTTCTGCATGAGTACAATCAAGTGCTCTGGGATTCCCACGCTTCTCAGTGTCAGCTACAACTTATCATGATCCACACAGTTAAATGCCTTTGCATAGTCAATAAAGCACAGATAGATATCCTTTTAGAATTCCTTACTTTCAGCCAGAATCCATCTGACACCAGCAATGATATCCCTGATGACATAGTCTCTTCTAAATCCTGTTTGAACTTCAGGTAGTTCCTATGTATGTACTGTTTCAGCTGTTTTTAAATGATCTTCAAGAGTATTTTTACTTGCATGCAGTATCAATAATATTGTTCAATAATTTCCAGATTCAGTTCAGTCACCCTTCTTGGGAATAGGAACAAATATGGACCTCTTCTAATCCATTGAACAAACACAAATCTCTTCTAATCCGTTGGCCAGAGAGCCATCCTCAAATATTCCTGGCATTGACTAGTAAGTGCATCCAAGGCTTCAGCTGTTAACTGAAATAAGTCAATTGGTATCCCATCAATTCCTAGGGCCTTACTTTTTTTTGCTGATGCCTTCAATGCAGCTTCTACTTCCTACTTCATTACCAGTGGTGCCCATTCATATTGCACTTCCTGAAATTTTTCAGTGTCAAACAATTCTTTATGGTATAGTGATGCTGTGTTTTCCTTCCATCTTCTTTTGATGCTCTCTGGGTCATTCAATATACTGCCCAGAGGCTTAAATTTGTTTTTCAATTCTTTCAGCTTGAGAAATGTAGAGCAAGTTCTTCCCTTTTTACTCTCTATTCCAGCTCTCTGGACATTCCATTATAATACTTTGCTTTGTCCTCCCAAGCTGCCCTTTAAAATTGTCCATTCAGCTCTTTTATTTTAACATGTTTTCCTTTAGAGTTGGCTTTTCAATGTTCCAATGAAATCTTTAGAATCTCTTCTGACATCCATTTCAGTTTTTCCTTTCTCCTGTTTTTGTAATGACCTTCTGCTTTCTTCATGGATGATGTCCTTGGTATTATCCAACAATTCATATGGTCTTCTACCATTCATGTTTAATGCTTCAAACCTATCTTAAGATTAACATGAAATTCCAATAGAATTGAGTCAAGATTGTATTTTGGTTCCTGTGGACTAATTTTCATTTTCTTCAGCCTTAATCTGAACTTGCTAATGAACAATTAATAATCTGACCCACAGTCTGCCCCTGGGCTAGTTTTGACTGTTGATATTGAGCTTCTCCAATGATTTCTTCTATGATTACTACTATGCAGTCCAAGGGCAAAAATTCAAGTGTAAAGTTGTCTTTTGTCTTTTAGAGAAAACAAATTGCAATGAATAAATGATTATAAATACAAAATTCAATTTTTCTATTTCCAGCTTCATTCCTATCACCAGACTCGTATTTTCCAACTACTGTTTTTTCTTCACAGTTTCCTTTTGCATTCCAGTCACCGATTACCATTAACGTATCTTAAACAGCATGTTTGGTCAATTTCAGACTGCAAAATTTGGTAAATATTCTCAATTTCTTCCTTTTTGGCTCTAGATGGAGGCACTAGTAACAGTTGTGTTAACAGGTCTTCTTTGTACGCATTATGAGTATTATCCTATCACAATATGGTATTTCAGGAAAGAAAGAACTTGAAATTGACGTTTTTAGTATGAATGAAACAATATCCTTCCTCTGTTTTTCATTCCCTACATAGTATACAATATGATTATTTGATTCAAAGACCCCAAAGCTGGTCAATCATATCCCACTAATGCCTACCAATTACTAATTCTGTAATCTTGGGTAGTTGTTTACATCTTAGCTTCCTCATCTTTAAGGAATACTATCTTTATTAATAATACCAAATAATAGTTATGGATAAAGCATGAAATAATAAATGACAAAAATTTTTAAGTGATAAAGGATTATATAAATAGGGACTAGGCTGAGAAGATATGACACTATAGCTTGAACACAAAAGTAAAAAAGGCTTATGTTAATACAGTTCACTAGTTCTAAGTTCATTAAGGAAAAATAATTGTCTACCTATTTAGATTTCCTTTACTAAAAATGTTTTTAAAAGCCTTGTGAATATGCTAAACTAAGGAACATGTTACTTTCAAGTTACTCTGACTGCTGTTGAGAAAATAATTTTTATTTAGATTTATTCTGTTAAGTTTTTAAAAACAGTAACACAGATATACCATTAAATTATTGTTTGTTCGCTTGATTTTGTAAGAAAATAAAATGAAAGCTATATGGAGGGATTCAGAAATTTACATTCTTTTCAGAATCAGAAAACACTTCCATAAAAAAACTGAATTTTGTATATTATATGGAATTTAAGGTTTCTTTCAACACACCTTGCAATTTCAGCTTTCAATTTTCCTATTTCTTCTGTCAACTGCTGAATACGCTTGGTGTGAACTTCCTTTTCAGAAAGGAGTTTCCGATATTCTTCTGTATCTGGATCTTTCTGTTGGTTTACTAGATGCTAGAATAACAAAAACATAAAATATGGCTTTAGATGTTTAATGAAATAAATGATACAATAAGATGGTAACAGTTAAAATTTTGGCTTTCATGCAAGCATAAGGATAAGGCATTAAATGATAAGATAATCAGATTAAAGCTTAATGCTTATTTAGCCAAAATGGAGGTAAAATAAAATTTCAACTGTTTACTATTTTTTCATAGTTGTGAATAAACATTTCAGATTAGTCAGCAAAGATGTCAAGTTAAAAGGTTTCAAAGAATCTAATAGTTTTTAATGTAAGTACTTAACTTCATATGTTGTTGTTATGTGCCGTCGAGTCGCCTGCGACTCATAGCGACCCTATGTGCAACAGCCCTAAACTCCGCTCTGTCCTGTGCCAATCGCACCGTCTCTGACACTCCCATCCCGATTATCCCAGTCACTGAATCAATCCACCTCATAGAGGGCCTTCCTCTCCTGCGCTGTCCCTCCACCCTCCCAAGCATGATGTCCTTTTCCAAGGACCGGTCTCTCTTCACAACATGTCCAAAATATGTTAGATGGAGCCTCAGAATCCTTGCCTCCAAGGAGCAACCCGGTTTAACCCTTTCTAGGACAAATCTGTTTGTTTTCCTAGCAGTCCATGGTATTCTCAATACTCTTCTCCAGCACCACAGCTCAAAGGCATCAATTCTCCTTCTATCCTCCTTGGTCATTGTCCAACTCCCTGATGCATAACAAGTGATTGGGAAGACCAAAGCCTGTATCAGATGCACCTTAGTCTCCAGAGAGACACCATTGCTCTTCAGTACTTTGGAGAGGTCCCTAACAGCAGACTTTCCCATGGCAATAGAAAGTAATTTAAAATTTTAAAAAAATTATATAGAACATATTAATATTTAAACAATAATGAAGTAAATAAAAATATAACTGATTTCATTAACCGGGAAAGGTACACAGGATATCAGTAAAGCTTCTAGATTTGAGCAGGTACCTCTTTTCTCTTCATGATTCTTCAACTGACTGTTCAGTAAGAACATTACCAAGTAAATTCTAAAATTCTATCACCTTACTCTAATAATAATGGTCGCTATCCTACAGAATTTTCCAGATGCCAAGTTTTACATTTATTACTTAATTTCTGAAACACAAACACTGCTATTGCAATCTTGTTTAACAAATTAGAAAAACTACATATCAGAGAAAATAAGCAATATTCAGAAACAGTACTAAGCATAAGAGCCCTGTACTATCTGCAGTTTTTTATAAAACTAATCTGGAGTGGCATCCATTTCCTAAATAACATGCCTCCAGAAACTCTATGAACTTTGATAAATGTTGATGGTTGTAGAGAGGCTTCAGGCCTTTTGTTCACAGGGTCATCATCATTCCTGCTCGACTCAAAGGTAATCAACAATCTGCTCTAGAAAAAAATTTCAAAAACACATACTATAATAAAAAAAGGTTAAAACCTGAATTAACAATTGTAATATGCACACATATGAGATTTCCACATCTAACATTATTTTCATCAGTTCCTTAAATATTTTTATCTCCCTAAATTTTACCCTATTATTTAAAATCAGCATACATTTACCTGGTTACGTGCTTTCCAACGTTTGACATCTTCCTCTAATAATTTCTTCTCTGCCTGAAGCATACCGCTTTTCTCACTCAGTTCAGCGTTTGCTTCTTGTAATGGTAAGATATCTAACTCGAGTTTCCTCACCTGAGAATAGTGCCGAAGTTTTTAAATACTTAAATGTAAACAATATTTATAATGTTTAAATATTATTAATATTCCTCAGTTCTGAAAGTTACAAACCTTAGCCTGCATTTGCTGCAGATCCTGTTCAAGCCTTTCCTTTTCTTCCCTTAACATTTTATTGGTCTCCATAACTACATTCATTGTTTCTGTTTTCTTCATCAATTCTTCATGCTGGGCCATGGTTTTCGCAGTTACCTAAAATGCAAACATACATATAGGTCAGTATGTAATGATGACGAGGCCTGGCTGTGTAACAGACTAAGTGTGAATTGCTAGTAAAAGGTCAAAGATTTGAATCCACAAACCATTCCATGTGAGATGGATAACATAGCTTGCTTCTGTAATGATGTAAAGCCTCAGAAACTCTAAAGCACCATTCCACTCTATCCTGTAGGGCTGACTATGAGTTGGAATTGACTCTAACGTTGTTAAGTGATACTGAGTCTGATACGACTCCAAGTGACCCTATGAACAAAAATCCGAACCCTGTCTTGTCCTGTGCCATCCTTATCTCTGATATACTTATCTCATTGTTGCAACCATGTTGGTAATACATTTCATTAAGGGTTTTCCTCTCTTTTGCAAACCCTCCACCTTTTCAAATACCATTTTCTTTTCCAAGGAACAGTCTTTCCTAACAACATGACCAAAGTATTTGAGATGAAGCTTCACCATCCTTCTCTCTAAAGAACACTCTGGCTGCACTTTCTCCAAGACATTTTTTTTTATTTTGGCATCCATGAGATGCTCCACATTCTTCTCAAACATGACAACTGAAAAGCACTGATCCTACTTCTTTATTCATTGTCCAGCTCTCAGAGGTATAATAGGTGACTGAAAAAACATGGCTTGAACAACGTAGTCTTTAACCTGATGTTATTGCTCTTCATTAAGAGCATTAAGCATTAAGGTCCCTGACAGCGGACTTTCCTAGTGCACTATTTCTTCAGATTTTTTGAGGACTGATACCGATGGTGTTGACTCTGGATCCAACTAAGATGACATCAGTGAGAAATTCAATCTTTTCTCCATCTATATAATGTTGCCTATAGGCCCAATGGTGACGATTTTTGCTTTCTTGATGCTGAGGTGTAATCCATACTGAAGGCTGTAGTCTTTGATCTTCTGTAGCCAAGTGTTTCAAGTCCTCCTAACTTCCAGCAAGCAAGGTTGTCAACTGAAAACACAGGTTGTTCAGGAGTCTTTTATCTGATCCTGATACCTCATTCTTCTTCGTAAGCCCAGCTTTTCAAATTATTTGTTTAGTATACAGATTAAACGAATACAGAAAGAGGATACAGACTTGATGCATGCCTTGGATTTAAAACAGATGCAATGCTCCCTTGTTCTGTTCAGACAACCACTTCTTTGTCTAAGTTTCATAAAAGCCCAACTAAGTGTTCTAGCAATCCAATTTTCAATGTTAGCCATCATTTGTTTTAAGCCATACAGTCAAATGCCTATGCATAGTCAGTAAAACATAAACAGACATTCTTCTGGTATTTTCCACTTTCTAACAAGATCCATCTGACCTCAATATCCCTGGTGCCATGGCCAGAAATTCAAGATAAGTTTAAATGAGGCCATTCCCCTCCCCCCGGCTTGATTAAGATATCAAGGGATTGACTGAAGACATAATACTTAATTCTACCTCATTAATAAGCCAGAATCCTTTTATCTAATAAGCAATGCAAATGAAAGATTCATCTTCTACCAAGATTATGTGACAAGAAGACATTCCTAAACCATCATACCAAAAAGTAGAAAGCATTTAATGTAAATCTTTAAAAGCAAAATTGTGTTCACATGTTTACCTTTGATAAAAGTAACAGCAAAGAAATAAAACCGAGGCAAGAGATTACAAAGCTGGCAGTAAATACATTCTATGTTATCTTTTACAGAATATGCACAACAGAGGAACACACTGACTTAATGCTAGAGATGAGCCCTTGGAGTGAAAGATAATAAGGAGAAACAGCAGCAAAATAACTGGTATATGGAATGCACAAAGTATGAATGTAGAGAGTTAGAAGCTGTCAAAATAAAGCAGAGCATATACACATTCTAGGCATTAGCAAGTTGAAATGTACAGGCACTGGCCACTATGGAATCATGACATGGCTTATTAATAAGGTAAAAATTAGTATTATGTCTTGAGTCAATCTTTTTTGATATATTAATCAAGCAAGGAGGCAGAGAGAAATGGGTGGAGACTGATGTCAAGTCACATGAAGATCACCAAGGAGTCAAAGAATAAGAATATTCTTCCAGAACTAAAAGTGTCCTGAATCTGGCCTTCAGTATTCTAAATTATGATAGAATTTGCTTGTTAAAGTCATTCATTTGTAGCATTTATGTTACAGAAGCACTAGATAAGTAACCTAATGTGTTATCAACAGATAGAACTAATATTACATGCAAACATTATTCCAGGCCTCTACTTAAATCTTTTTATATTTGTTCTTTCTAATCCAGTGATGAGGATATTCGTACTCCTGATGTAAAAATGGAAACATTTTCAAGGCCGTCGTCTTAGATTTTCAGTAATTGCTTTATGTTTTCTTCACTTTCTGAAAGCAAAGTTGTGTCATCTACATGAAACAAGCATAGGTTGCTATCTTCCTCCAATCCTGAAACCACATTCTTCTCCACATGGCTCAGTTCCTTGAATGATTTGATCAACATGCAAGGTGAATATTGTTGCTGATATGTGCTGTCAAGATGCCTGTGATTCATAGCAACCCTATGCAGAAAAGCTCTGAATTCTGCACGATCTTTAGTCAATCGCATTATCTCCACCAGACCTAATCCCACTTCTCCAATCACTTAATCAATTCATCTCATCTTGGATCTTCCACTCCTGTAGTTAGTCCACCCTTCCAAACATGATGTCTTTCTCCAAGGACTGACATGTCCAAGGTATGTGATGTGGAGCTTCAAAATCCTTGCCTCCAGGGAGCATCTTGATTTCACTCTCTCTACAACAGACCTGTTTGTTCTCCTAGCAGTCCATCATGGTATTTTCAACACTCTTCTCTAGCACCACAACTCAAAGTCATCAAATCTCTGTCATCCTTTGTCATTGTCCACTTTTCTGAAGCATAGCAAGTAATTGAAAAGATCTTAGTCTGTATCAGTTGCACCTTTGGTATGGTGGAAGGATACAACCATGTACACTTTTTCAGTTTTTAAACTCTGCAGTGTTTGTTCTGTTTGGACAGCTGCTTCTTAGCTTATGTTCAGGTTCTGCATGAACACAATGTAATATTCTGGGATTCCTATTCTTCTCAAGGTAAATCATAATTTATTATGACCCAGACAGTCAAATGCTTTTACAGTGTCAATAAAACAAAAGTAATGTCTGTATGGCATTCTCTACTTTCAGTCAAGAACCATCTCTTATTTCACAGCCTCTTCTGAATCCAGCCTGAATTTTAACAGTTCCTTGACAACATATTGTTCTAGATAGTATTTAAAAAACTTCAACAATATTTTACTGGTGCAAGATATTAATGATACTACTGAATAATTTCTGTATTTTATTGGGTCACCTTTTTTTGGTCTGGGAACAAATATGGATCTCTTCAAGTAGGCTGGCGAAGCCAATTGTCTTCTAAATTTCTTGGTATAATGAGAACACCTAAGTTTGTATTCTGTCCTAAAACACCTCAATTGGTATTTCATCATGCCTCAATTGGTATTTCATCATGCCTCAATTGGTACTGGATCCTTATTTTCTATAAATGCCTTGAACAAACCTTGGTGGCCTGGTTCACAGGTATTTGTGCTGCTAAACCAATGCTCTGGCAGTTTGACTCCACCAGCAGTTTCCTCAAAACAAAGGTGAGTAATCTCTGCCTTTGTGATTTAGTGCTTTGGAAGAAGCTACAGAGTCAGCTCTGAGTTGTTTCCAACTTAACAGCAGTAAGTAAATGTTATTAGGACAAATTGAAATGAGGTCTTCTCCTTTAAATTAACAAATGCTTTTCTAAAGCTTAGTATACATACCTGGACTTTTTCCCTTTCAGCATTTAGGCTATCCTGAAGCTCTTGAAGCTCTCTTTCTAAAAGTTCAACCCTCTGTCGATAACGCAGACTCTCAACTTGAGCCACTTCAAATCTAGTTTCAGCAATTTCTTTTTCTCGTCGTATAAATCTGCAGGAATATAAATGTTGAACACTGAGGTGAAAAACAAAACAAAACAAAACAACCTAATAACCAAAACACTGGTAATTTTTATGATGACAAAAATCATTCATTTTCACAAAAAGTAATGTTTCTATAAACCATAAATTATAATTAGATACAATTTATTATACAATAACCTCAGAAACTTGTATCTTTAAAGAGATCAGAAAGGCAGTTAGGGTTTCAAAGGTGACTTATTTATTTAGATTTAACTTGAAATAATTTGTTTAAAATGGTGTATGATGAAATGTCAGTAACCACTAATTTGACAGTTACTATGTTATTGATTAATAAGAAGCAAAATAAGCTTTTTATCTAAATCACAGCCACTCCTTTAATATAAGCATTTGTAGTTTTACTGTAAAGTGATATAAATTTTAAATATAAATTTACCTGAGAATTTCTAGTATTTGTTCTTGAGATTTTCCTTCTTCACTCAGAGATACATTCAATTGACCTTGTACACCTTCCTTCATAGAGGCAACTACCTTGTCACTTAACTTTTCAATCTGATCATGAAGTAATCTATTTTGTTTCTCTAGATCTTCACAGCGAGACACACACTTGGAAACTTCATCCTGTAAGACAAGAGGCTGTCAAAACAGCTGACTCTCCAATGCACATCAATAATAACAAAAAAATCATTGTCATCTCCCAGAACATTTTATCATGATCTAATAATATCATACTTTTAACACTCTCTCTCTCTCCTCCCATGATGCTTTACACTCCAACAACTGTGACTCTGCCTTCTGAGTTGTTTCTTCCAAATGTTGACGAACTGATGACATTTTTGAAACCTGTTCCTTGGCAGCTTGAAGAGCTTCAACATCAGCAGCATGCAGCATCAATTCTCTTTCATACTTATTCTGAGCTTCTACCGCTATTTTAGCCTGGGGGAAAAAATATCTTCATTGTTCAAAAATATTTTAAAAACTTTAAAAAGCTAAACAGTATTTTTTAAGAAAACCAAGAAGTACTAATTAAAATTTAAAAACATTATTAAGTAAAAATTCTAAACAAATGCTATGAAATTAAAAAACTAAACACAACTCAAAGTTATGTAAACTAGTGTAAACTGTAGAAAAATGCTACCAATATTTCAAAAGGGAGTGGTTCCAGAAATCCAAAATATAAAAATCTGAAGATGCTGAGTATCTTTATATAAAATGATATATTTGCAAATAAGTTATGTACATCCTTCTGTATACTTGAAATCACTTATAGATTTCTTATAAGACCTAATAGAATGAAAATATTAGGCTTTTAACTTTTGAAGGGCAGTTCGAACTACTTAAACCTTTCCTACTGTCTATTTTCGATAGCTTAATCTGTGGATGCTGAACACACACATACACACATAAATGAAAAAAAACCAAAGAAAAAGATTATCATTAGGACACAGAGTTACAGAAATATTATTTTAATTTTATATTGTTGAACAATAAGAAAAAAGTCATTCATTTTTGCCCAACTGCCTTTGAAACATTTTCTCTTAAATTCTACTTTTAAAATAACTTGATACACATAACATTATATGAATGTAAATACTACGCAACTTAAAAATCAGAGCATGATCAATATTTAGAGATGTATATCTTAATTCTACTATTTCTCCATTCTCCAGTTTAATCATTTATTCTAAAAAATAGGAAAAATACTTGGATGGATGTGTGTATATGTGTACTTAAACATTATAATGTGATACTTTTTTCAAAACCTGTGAAAAATCGTATCTAGTCTTTGTGGAACTGACTTGTTGAACATGACAATGAATTATTCACCTCTGTCATTATGCAGAGTTACGGTTTCTCATCTTTGATAAGATTCCTTTGTGAAACAAAGCTTTTAATTTGTCTACAATTTTACAATTCAACTTTAGTTCTTTGAAGTAATTTGGTTACGAAACCTATGCAAGCTCAATTATGTATTAAAAGTTTGGTTTCTTCCAAGAAAGCTTTGGGCTGTACCTTTGAGTATTCTGTCTACATTTCATCCAATTGTGTACTTAAGGGATACCAAACTATTTACTTTTAGCCTTCATTTGTAATTTAAATTTATTTTCATAATACTGACATAAGAACAAAAATAATTTTAAATTTTGTAAAGTTGACTCAATACTCAATATACCTGATTCAAAATACTCCCCGAATTGTTCTAGGACCAAAGTTCATTTCTCAATAACTGTCTTAACACTTACTTGTTCCTGACAGTCACGTCTGGCTTGCTGTTCATTACTCAAAGCTGTACTCGCCCTCTGAAGTGCCTCTTGTACTTCATTCTGAACACTAGAAAGTGTTTTCTTTAACTCAGATAACTAAATTTAAAAAATAAATAAATAAATAAAACCAAAGTCAATTGCAAACTTGGGTTAAGATAGCGAAGGATTTTTAAAATGCAGTTAGTTCAAAGGAATGCTAATTAAATGTAAAATAAAAAGGTTATAATCTGACATAAATGATCTTGTAAGTTCTGTAACATTATACCCCTTCTCACTAATTTAACAAAAGGCAATCCCATGCAAAAGCTTACTTTTTACTAAAAAAGGGGGGGGGGGAAGCACTAGATACCTCCTCCACAAACAAACCTACTCACTGCCTTAAGAAATCAGAGCTAACTCAAAGCTGATACTCTAGGTTTTCTGAGGCTTAAATCACACAAGAGGAGATTGCCTGTATTTCTCCAACAGAACGGCTAGTGTATTTGAACTGCTGGAGAGGTACCACCTTTGGGTTAGCAGTGCAATTCTGTGCGGACTATTGCCCAGAGCTCTCAACAAAAGAATTACAGAACAAGTCACATAATATCTGAAATCTTGGTTGTGTGTTCAATGACTACCTTAATATGTACAATGGTTAACTACTTAACAAAAATATTTGTACAATGAAAAAAAAGATTAATATGACTGGGCCAATAGGTAGAATCATAATGGATGGTGAAAAGACTGAGACTGTTAACAGTTTTAGTTTGCTTGGCTCCACAATCAATACGCTTGGTATCAGCAGCAAGGAAATCAAGAGACAAACTGCTTTGGGGAAGTCAGCTGTCACGGACCTCTCCAGAGTACTGAAGAGCAATGATGTCAGGCTGGAGATTAAGATCCACCTAATCCAGGCCATAGTCTTTGCAATTGTGTGCTATGCATCAGAGAGTTTGACAATGATTAGGGATGACAGAAAGAGAATTGATGCCTTTGAGCTATGGTGCGGGAGAAAAGAGAGTGTTGAATATACCAGGGACTGTTAGGAGAACAAACAGTTTAACATAGAGGGTGTGAAACCAGGCTACTCCTTGTAGGCAAGGATTCTGAAGCTTCGTCTGACATACTTTGGGTATGTTGCAAGGAGGGACCAGTCCTTGGAGAGGGAAATCATGTTTCGGAGGGTGGAGGAACAGCACAAGAGAGGAAGACCCTTAATGAGCTGGATCGATTCAGTGAATGGGATAATGGAAGTAGGAGTGTCAGAGACATTGAGGTTGACACAGGTTAGAGCAGGGTTTAGGGATGTTGTACACAGCATCGGTATGAGTCACAAGTGACTCCATAGCATATAACAACCACCAACACCCTAATTTACCTGTTGTTCCATGCTCTCTATGGCTTTTCTCTTGTCGTCCTGAAGTTCTTGCTTTTCCTTCTCTACTTCCATCAATTTCTTTTCCAATTGTGTCTGAAATTCAGCTGACTCTTTCAAACGAACTTCAATATTCTTATGTACTTCTTCTGTCACCTTTATATGTGGTCAAAAAGATAAAAAGTCACATTTTTTAATATCATTTGGTATAATTATTAAAACTGTACATGTCTTAATTTCCCCAAATCCAAATTAAATATGAGAGGTGGTACTAAAGTAAAAAAACAAACAAACAACAACAAAAAACCAAACCAATAAAAGGTTCATTGGGGCTCAAAAATAAAGCAAAACACATTCTAAATTACAACTTCTCTCTCTCAGCTGTCCATTTTATTCTTGTGAAATTCCTAATTTTTTCTTTTCTGCCTCAATGTTCACATTCGCTGTCTGTTGATCCATGGGAGACATGTTTTTTTAACTACTTTTAAAACTGTATCACTATTTTACAGTGAAAAATTGAGTAAGCTAGTCATATTATCATCATGTGAAGACTATGTACTTGGCTAAGGGTTCCTACGACATGAAGTAACTTTCTATTAAGCTACTTTTCGTCAAACTCTGCATAATTACCATCCCTCATATAAAGCCATCCATTTCCAAGAGATTAAAAAAAAATCTAACCTACTACTTTTACTCACCACTTGACTTATACCTTTCCTAAAGCACTTACAGCCATACCACTTGCTTGAGTTTTGTGTTTCTATTTGTCTGGCTTAGGAGTGTCAAGTACGTTCAGGAGATAAAGGTTAACAGTATCTGTGCAATTCATACTTCTCACAATGCCTCACATATATAGCAAGTTCTGAATTAAGAAAAACAAAAATTAATAGGTGTATTCAAATTCAATTTAGAATTGTTTATACCTGTTTTTCCTTGTTGAGAGATTCTTCTAAACTAGTGACCATTGCTCGATACTGTTCCACATTACTAGTACTTGTTCTGAGTCTCTCCTTCAAATCATTCACCAGCTCTTCTGCTTGCCTTAGCTGACTCCGAAGGTCATCAACATCTTCTTTGTCATTAGGCTGAGCTAAAAGAGCATTATTAAAATTACCAAACAATATATAGTTATCAAAGAGAATGCAAAATTATGGCTCAAATGTGGAAGTATTTAACTATTTAGAATGCATATTTCAATTCATTTAAGTATAACAAAATAACACCTGACAACTATTTTTAAATTTATTACTTTAAGTTCATTCACTGTTGTGCATTTTCATCCCTGTCCCTTCCCTAGTCTACTTTGCAGAGCACTTCTTGTTCATATAAGATTACTGTCATACATATAACTCCTAATCATATATTCCTTCCAGACAGTTCTTTACCTCATTTGTTCCAACAGTGTTCAGTTTCTATAAGTCTTCTTAAAAATCCAAACATTTAAAGTCCATTGTTAAAAAAATTAAAGATATTTATAAGAATAAAAAATATTTCCAGTAAACTCAAATTTTTGTTATGTGCCGTTGAGTCACTTGCGATTCACAGCGATCCTATGCACATCGGCTCTAAACTCTGCTCTGTCCTATGCCAATCTCACCGTCTCTGACACACTCATTCTGATTGCCCCAGTCACCGAGTGCTGAGGGTACAATGCACTGCTAAAAAAACAAACAGATTCATCCTGGAGAAGGTTAAACTGGGCTGCTCCTTGGAGGGAAGGATTCTGAGACTTCGTGTGACACACTTTGGTCATAAACTCAAGAAATTATCAAATTCTTAAATTACCTAAAAATTTAATTCTAAACCACAAATCTATCATTTAACGCAATTATTTTTCTTTTTAGAATGCATAAGTAAAGGAAGAAAATTACAAGTTGAAAAAGATTATTCTCACATTGCACGACATAAAAAAAGACTACTATAACAGATACACACACATAAGGATATGTACCTCAAATGTTTGGAGTTCAATTCATGTTGTGGTTGTTGTTATGTGCCATCGAGTCACTTGCGACTCATAGTTACGCTATGTGCAGGAGCTCTAAACGTGGTAATATCCTGTGCCAACCTAGCCATCTCAAAAGCACTCATTCCCACCACTCCACTCACAGAATCAATCCATCTCATCGAAGGTCTTCCTCTCCTTCGCTGTCCCTCCACTCTCCCAAACACGATGTCCCTCTCCAAGGACCAGTCCCTCCTTGCAACATGCCCAAAGTATGTCAGACGAAGCTTCAGAATCCTTGACTCCAAGGAAGCATTCTGGCTTCACCTTCTCTAGGATAAACCTGTTTGTTCTACTAGCAGTCAATAGTATATTCAACACTCTTCTCCAGGACCACAGCTCAAAGGCATCAATTCTCTACCATCCCTATTCACTGTCCAACTCTGATGCATAGCACGTAATTGTGAAGCCTACAGCCCGGATCAGGTGCACCTTAGTCTACAGCTTGATGTCATTGCTCTTCAGTACTCTTGAGAGATCCCTCACAGCTAACTTTCCTAATGCAATTAGTCTCTTGATTTCCTGGCTGCTGTTACCAAGAATGTTGACTGTGGAGCCAGGTGAACTAAAACTGTTAACCATCTCAATCTCTTCACCATCCATACTGATGCTGCCAATTGGCCCAGTGGTGAGAATCTTTATCTTCTTGATGTTGAGTTTCAATCCATATAGGAGGCTGCAGTCCTTGACCTTCTGCAGCAAGCGTTTCAGGTCCTCCTCAGTTTCAGCAAGCAGGGTTGTGCCATCTGCATAACGCAGGTTGTTGATGAATCTTCCACCAATTCTGATGCCACATTCCTCCTCGTACAGCCCAGCGTCTCAGATGATCTGCTCTGCATACAGAATGAAAAGTTATGGAGACAGAATACATCCCTGACGGACCCCCTTCTTGATTTTGCACCATGTAGTGTCTCCTTGCTCTGTTCTGACGACTGCCTCTTGATCCAAGTATAGGTTTCGCATTAGCACAATCAAATGTTCTGGGATTCCCATTCTTCTCAGAGTCAGCCACGGCTTGTTATGATCCATACAGTCAAAAGCCTTTGCATAGTCAATGACGCACAGACAGACATTCCTGCCAAGATCCATCTAACACGAGCTATAAGATCCCTAGTAGCACAACCTCTTCTAAATCCAGCCTGCACATCTGGCAGTTCTCTGCTGACATATTGTTCCAAACGTTTTTGGATAATTTTCAGCAGAATCTTGCTTGCATGTGATATTAATGATATTGTTTGATAATTTCTGTACTCTGTTGGGTCACCTTTCTTTGGGATGGGAACAAATATCGATCTTTTCGAGTCAGTTGGCCAGCTGGCTGTCCTCCAGATTTCTTGGCACAACTTAGTGAGCACATCCAGGGCAGTGTCTGTTTGTTGAAATATGTCATGGGGTATGCCGTCAACTCCTGGAGCCTTGTTTTTTGCCAATTCCTTCAGAGCAATTTGAACTTCCTCCTTCATCACCACAGGCTCTTGCTCATATGTTATTTCATGAAATTCTTCTTTGTCAGCTAATTCCTTCTGATATAGTGACTCTGCGTACTCCTGCCATCTTCTCTTTATACTTCCTGGGTCATTTAACATTCTACCCAAAGTATCCTTAAGTAATCCAATGCTACTCTATTTTACAGGATCACTATGAGTAAAAAATAACTGAGCAGTACAAAGTAATATAAATATTATAATGCTCATTTTATATATATATATATATATATTTTCTATCAGAAACTTGAAATTATGTTACTTAACTACAGAAGTTTTGAATTGGAAATAAATGTGCTATAGTCACAAAAGGAAGCTTAATCCAATGAATCAATCTTTAACCTGAGGCCATCAATGAAGAAAGAGTAGTGATCTGCTCTAAAGTAAGACCTATATCATCTCTCAACCTACTGTTACAGATTTTCTAAGTGACCTTCTATTTGAACCTTAAAATTGTAATGATTTATCCTTTTAAAAAGTGTTTTAAAATAGCAAATCACTTCAAGTGGAAAACTAGGGTAATACCTTGATCAGGCACCAAGCAGAATAAGAACAATTTATAATCTTTCAGAAACATTAAAAAAGGTTTTTTTCTCCCCTTTAACATTATCTATAAAGAAGTTAGCTATTAACATATAGGATTTACCATAAATCTAAGTCACCATGTATTTTATTCACAATACAGAATTAGTTGATTTACTTATTTATTTACCTTTCCCAGTTTTTTGTGAAGATTGAGAAGCAAGTTGGCCTTCCAAACTACTAAGGTGCAGTTTCAATGTAGCAATTTCTTTTTGGCCATTTTTAAGAAGTTCTTTTGTATTAAGATGAAGATTTACCTCAGTATCTAGTTGTCTTTTTGTATCCAAAAGTTGAACCTAAATAAACAAAACAAGTAACACTATCCTCATTCCAGTAAGGCAAAGTTTTGTTCTCTAGCAGGCCTTAAAAACTCTGGCTAAGATAAAAATAACAGGAACTAAATTTTCCCTGCCACCTGAAACAAACAAAACCCCTATAATTAAGAATAAACACACGAAACAGTTTTTCAGACTCTGAACAAAAGACAATGAAAATCCCTAAGACAGGAAACAAACATAGCAAGTACAATGGGTATTCTGTGATGGGCTAAGTTCACAGAGTTGAGAATTTCCAGCATGCATAATTGAGAATTTCTCAGCTTTGCATAAGCTGATAAAGACAGATCTGCAATTTAGGGAGACTAAAGCAGCTAAGGAGTTCCTAAAACAGAAAATCAACAACAGGCTAACAAAGTAAAGAGAACCTTAGACATTCTGCAGAGTGCTGATGAGTGCAACCATGTGAGATTGCCTCAGACACGGAAAGAATCAAAGGGAAAAGAGTGAGGAGTGCCTGATATTTATAAGTAGTTCTGTAACAGTGCCTGTTATCAGGAATCGGCAATTAGGAAAAATACGTAATACATGTGACACTGAATACAGTACACAGTAAAATCTTGCTTCAGCAAAGGCTGCTTTGGGTTGCCTATATACCATGAAAAAATAGACACAAAAGTTAAAACTACTTCCAAATAACTTCAGTGTATCCAAAACAAAGATCTAAAATAGGAATATAAAAATATCCAAGACTCAACAACATAAAAGTCATAATTATGACAATCATTCAAAACTTACAACACAAAGAGGTAATGAAAATTTATGTTTTGTAATTATCTTTTCAAAATATTTCAACTTGAAATAGCAGTGTGTTCATACCTAATTACTGAACAGAAATAAATCACATTCAGACTTCTGACAGACTTACATCTAGATTTCTAGTAAGCGTATGCCTTTGCTCCACCTCATTTTCCAGTTTCTTCTTTAGATGAGCTATCTCATTTTCCAGTTTTTCTATCTGGTTACTAAGCCTTTGTTTCGTTTCTGTTTCAGATCGCTCTAGTATTCCCTGTAATGCAGACAAGATTTAATTTTATGTAAGAAAATTCAACAAAGCAATAGAAAAAAGATAAATGTACAACTAATCTCTACATGAGGAACGTAAGATGTAAAATATTTTAATATTTTTCATAAGAAAATATCTATGTCAGAGGAAAAACACAAGACAAAACCCAAACATATGAAAATAATTACTTTGCTTTCTAGATTTTAGAATAAAACCCAAATTATTTAATAGTACAACTACTTGCTACTCCAGAACCAGTAAATAGAGACCTGAAGATCAAGACTGTAAATGACATGATCTCAATCAATCCTCACTTTATACTTAATGTTTATTTAAAATACAGAAATGCCCTAAACCCCAAAATGTCAACCATCATAAAGACAAAAGTACCAGAGTTAATGACTAAAATGGAAAAGAACAGTATCTAAACCTAACTTCATGCTTTTTTCCTATACTCCTTTTTTCATTACCTGAATCGTTTGCAGATTAGTGAGCAGTAAGTTTTGTCCTCTTTGTTCAGCTAACAATGACTCTCTCTGTTGAGAAAGACGAACTTCTGACAATTTAAGCATTTCTTTTTCTTTCTTCAAATTTTCTGCTCTTACCTTGAGGTAAAACGAATCAATAAAAAAGTCAGCAAATATAAAACAAAACAATCTTAAAATTGGTACATTTCTTAATGTCAATTGTTGTTATGTTCTATCAACTCAGAACTAACTTCTGATTGACCCTCCATGATTTCAGAGCCTGAAAATCATATCGGAAGATATAGCCTATGTATGTCCTGCAGAGGAGATGCTGAATTTAAACTGAGTGGCTTTCCATTAGCAGTACAACTCCTTATACCACTAAGCAATGAAGAGCTCATCTTCTTTCATTAAAAACATAAAGCTTTCAGTCTCATGTTGAAATACAAAGAATTAAGTAAAAATAATTGGTAATACTAAAAGATTCAAAGGGAAAAAAAATTTCATTACTACAATAACTCATTCTTTATTTTCTCTTAACAATTTACATTTAAAATTATCAAATAAGAAATAAAGGAATATAAAGCAAAACGGTTGAACAATCTAGTTTAAGTTGAATTTTGGGGTTCATAAAGACTATTGGGGGGTCTGGAACACTACTCTGAAACATCAATATCCTCAAAGTTTTTACAACAAATCATTTAAACTAACCACTGCTGACCACTTCTCATAACAAAGTAGGAGCAAAACAAAATTAAAAGACAGCCAAGAGAATTAAATATAAACCGAATCTGAGAATGTGGTTTGAGGTCTCAATCAATCCATACTTTTATGTCTGCCCCAAAATGAGCAATTCAGCTCTTGAGCTTCAATTTCTAAGCAAAAAGAAGAAAATTTATGTACTTAGCTCACAGCCCACAGAATGATTAATAAAGACCTGAAAAATAGTATTTTTAAAGTAAAACAATGTACAGAATTTATCATTACAAAATTAAGTATTTAGCTGGAGGGGAAAACCCCTAAGAGTTGACTGTCCAGCAGATTTTCAGAGGCTGTAAATTATATGGGAAGTATCTACCCATCTTTCTCCTAAGGAGACACTGCTGGAGGGGAATGGAGTGCTTCCAGGCTGGAAGAGCAACTCTCTCACTAGGTCACCAGAGTTCCTCAGTGGGAAAGGTGTGTCCGAATCAGTGAGACTGGCTCAGGAGAGGGCAAGCTTCAGAGCTGTTGTACATAGAATTGCTATGAGTTGCCAGCAACTTGATGGAACATAGAAACAACATGAGGAAAAAGTGTGACCAGAGTACTCTTTGGAGGCAAGGATGGTAAAGCTTCATCTCGTGTAATTTGGGCATATTGCTAGCAGAAGCTATTCCTCGGAAAAGAGATATTAGGAAAGGTAGAGGATCATTAAAGAGAGGAATATTCTCAACAAGATGGACTGACAGTGACTGCAGCAATGGGTTCAAGTGTGTCAAAGATGATGAGGATGGCATGGGACAGGGTTCTGATTTGCTGTTTACAGGGCTACTATGAGTTATACGCAACTCAATGATACCTAATTTAGTATTCAAGTTGAAATTCAAAATTGAACACTGATATAATTTCTCTAGTTTTACACACAGGTCTGTCTTGGAGAGGGTGAAAGCAAACTTCTCCTTGGAGGTTAGGATTCTTTTTTTTTTTAAATTTTATTAGTTGTGTGTGTACCATCAAATCGTATCTGACTGGTACAGGAGCTTGATCCTCCTCCAGCAACGCATGTGGTGGATTCGAACTGCGTACCCCGGGACAGCACTGTAGCTTCTTGACATTGGCCACCAGAAGTTGAAGCTCCGTTTCACATACTTAGGGCATGTGGCCAGGAGAGACCAGTCCTTAGAGTATGACATCATTCTTGGAAGGGTGGAGGAACAGCACAGGAGAGGAAGACTCCAGATGAAGATTGACTGATATAATAAGTAGGACAATGGGGTACGTTTGTCAGAGTCAGTGAGACTGGGTCAGGACCGGGCAGGCTTCAGAGCTGTTGTACATAGGGTCCCTATGAGTCGCCAGCAACTTAATGGCCTATAACATCATCATCTATTATGAGCAAAAATAGGGGTGGGTTTATTTATTTACGTTAAAGCTCATGTGAAATGGAAAATTTATAATAGTGGTTTAGTAAGGAAAAAAAAAGAAACTTCTTTCTCTTTCAATCTTAACAGAAATAACCACCTAGCACAACTAGCTTTTTGGAAATTATACAGTAGTAAGAACTCTAATCCATGATCCTCTCAAATATTTACGTTACAGAACAGTTTTTAGACTTACAGTCAGTAAGGGTTCCAGGAACCCAAAGACATCAAAATACAAAGACATTCCTCCAGGTCGTATAGCCCTGGTGTACAAGTTGCTGTCCCGCGGTCACTTGTGGTTGCTATGAGGCTGAACACTGTGACACGGATGTGTCAAATGTGTTAATGGTTGCCTACCCAATGAGGACTGAGAGTGGGGTGGAGCTCCCCGATTGAACAAGCGTGGAAGGAGGAGTGGCGTCCACTTCCATAATAGCTTGCCTCCAGAAACCCTATGAACTTGGAGAGAGGATGAAAGGCACCCAAGCGTCAAGGACTCGCTATGAGTCGCCTGTGACTCAACGGCACTTAACAATAACATCAACAGAGAGAGAAAGAGATCAGCTGGCCTAGCGAAGAGAAAACGATGTGACCAAGACAAAGGCGGGTGACTTTTAGTTCGCGGCCCTCAGGCCAGTCTTTCATTGTTTTTGTTCAGACATTCCTCTAGGTCGTATAGCCCTGGTGTACAAGTTGCTGTCCTGCGGTCACTTGTGGTTGCTGTGAGGCTGAACACTGTGACATGGATGTGTCAAATGCGTTAATGGTTGGCTACCCAATGAGGACTGACAGTGGGGTGGAGCTCCCCGATTGAACAAGCGTGGAAGGAGGAGTGGCGTCCACTTCCATAATAGCTTGCCTCCGGAAACCCTATGAACTTGGAGAGAGGATGAAAGGCACCCAAGAGTCAAGGACTCTCCTTCATAGGGTTGCTATGAGTTGCCTGCAACGACGGCACTTAACAACAACAACAACAACAATAATTTAAGACCCCTAATAAACGCTATATAATTATAATGTTAGCTTTAGCCTTAACCTTTGAAAGATTGTTCTGACCATTTTGTTGTCACATTCCTCCCGAATAGTTTTACTGTGCAGATCCTGAAAATAGGAGAGCCAACTACAATAAAGAAAAATGAAAAGACAGATTTGTGAAAATTGGTCTTACTTCTGCAACAGCTAGTTTTTCATTTGCTCCTCTCAAATCCTGAGTCATAGTATTGATGATCTGCTCCTGTTTTTGAGTTGTTGCAGTAAGTTTCTGATTTCTCTCATGTAGGGACGTTATTTCTCGGCGGTATCCTTCAACATTATCTTGTAGCATTTCATAGCTTGTATAAAATTAAAGTAATTCTATATAAGCAACTGAAATACAATACCCTATCTTAATGAATAAAAGAATTATACAACAATTGTTCAATTTTATATGATTAAATACAGTAAATGTGCTGGTTAAGAAAGTAAAACATTTTTTTTCAAATTCTACATGCAGTGATTAAGTTCAAATAAGCATCTATTTCATGTTAACTCTTCATTCTTACTTAATAATCATATTCAAAATAATGCCAACACTATTCAAATAGTAATCTTCATTTACACTATCAATGTGTCACTGACCACAATGAACAATGCAATTGAAGACAATTATAGCACTGTTAGTAGTATATTCTTTTCAATCATTTTACCCCCTCTATAATCTCACCACTGGACCAACTGGCAGCATCAGGATCATTGGTGAAGAGATTAAATTGTTCACAGCTTTAGTTTCCTTTGCTCCACAGTCAACACTATTGGCACCAGTAGACAGGAAATTAAAAGACGTACTGTGATGGCAAAGTCTGCTGTTAGGGACCTTTCCAAATTTCTGAAGAGCAATGGTATCTCTCTGGAAACTAAGGTGCATCTGATACAGGCCATGGTCTTCACAATCACTTGTTATACATCAGAGAGTTGGACAATGAGTAGGGAGGATAGAAGGAAAATTGATGCCTTTGAGCTGTGGTGCTGGAGAAGTGTGTTGTGGGGGTACCATGGACTGCTAGGAAAACAAACAGATTCACCCTGGAGAGAGTTAAACGAGCGGCTCCTTGAAGGCAAGGATTCTGAGGCTTCGTCTAATATACTTTGGACATGATTTAAGGAGGGACTGGTCCTTGGAGAGTGACATCATGCTTGATTCAGTGACTGGGATAATCGGGATGGGTGTGTCGGAGACAGTGTGATTGGCACAGGACAGAACAGAGTTTAAGGCTGTTATACATAGGGTCGTTATGAGTCGCAAGTGACTCCATGGCACATAACAGTAACAACCACAACAGCATCCTGTATCTTATTTTGTTGAAAGTTTACACCATGGAGCTATGCTGTTATGTGCCATGGAGTCGAAGTGACTCATAGTGGCACTATGTACAAGAGCCCTGCTCTGTCCTGTGCCAACGTCACCATCTTCAATATACTCACTCCCACCACCCCAATCACAGAATCGATCCATCTTATCGAGTATTCCTCTCCTGTGCCATTCCTCCACTCTCCCAAACATGATGTCCCTCTTCAAGGACCAGTCCCTCCTTGCAACATGCCCAAAGTATGTCAGATGAAACATCAGAATCCTTGACTCCAAGGAGCATTCCGGCTTCACCCTCTCCAGGACAAACCTGTTTGTTCTCCTAGCACTACAGCTCAAAGGCATCAATTCTCTTTCTATCATCCCTATTCACTGTCCAGTTCTCCGATGCATAGCAAGTGATTGCAAAAGACTACAGCCCAGATCAGGTGCACCTTAGTCTTCAGCCTGACGTGGTTGCACTTCAGTACTTGAGAGGTCCCTGACAGCTGACTTTCCCAATGCAATTTGTCTCTTGATTTCCTGGCTGCTGTTACCAAGAATGTTGACTGTGGAGCCAAGCAAACTAAAACTGTTGTCTCGATCTCTTCACCATCCATACTCATACTGCCAACTGGCTCAGTGGTGAGAATCTTTGTTTTATTGATGTTGAGCTTCAATCCATATAGAAGGCTGCAGTCCTTGACCTTCTGCAGCAAGCGCTTCAGGTCCTCCTCAGTTTCAGCAAGCAGGGTTGTGTCATCTGCATAACGCAGGTTGTTGATGACTCTTCCATCAATCCTGATGCCACATTCCTCCTCGTACAGCCCAGCGTCTCGGATGATCTGTTCTGCATACAGATTGAAAAGTTATGGAGACAGAATACATCCCTGATGGACCACCTTCTTGATTTTGCACCATGTAGTGTCTCCTTGCTCTGCCTTGACAATTGCCTCTTGATCCAAATATAGGTTTCGCATTAGCACAATTAAATGTTCTGGATTCCCATTCTTCTCAGTCAGCCACAGCTTGTTGTGATCCACACAGTCAAAAGCCTTTGCATAGTCAATGAAGCACAGATAAGACATTCCTCTGGTACTCTCTGCTTTCTGCCAAGATCCATCTAACATTAGCTATAATATCCCTAGTACCACGACCTCTTCTAAATCCAGCCTGCACATCTGGCAGTTCTCTGCTGACATATTGTTCCAAACGTTTTTGGATAATTTTCAGAATCTTGCTTGCATGTGATATTAATGATATTGCCTGATAATTTCTGTACTCTGTTGGGTCACCTTTCTTTGGGATGGGAACAAATATCGATCTTTTCGAGGCAGTTGGCCAGCTGGCTGTCCTCCAGATTTCTTGGCACAACTTAGTGAGCACATCCAGGGCAGTGTCTGTTGAAATATGTCAATGGGTATGCCGTCAACTCCTGCAGCTTTGTTTTTTGCCAATACTTTCAGAGCAACTTGAACTTCCTCCTTCATCACCACAGGCTCTTGCTCTTATGTTCTCTCACGAAATTCTTCTGTGTCACCGAATTCCTCCTGATACAGTGACTCTGTGCATTACTTTCAAAAAAACAAACAAAAACCAAAAAACCACCACCCCCAAAACACAATGTACTTTTGATTTTAGAGTGTTGAAATGTTAGATTTATTAATGCCAATTAGATCCTTAAACTACCAATAAAGTTTAATCATGTACTCTAAAAGTCAATTATGGCTTGGTAATTGAGAACTTAACAAATATAACATCATCTATCAGTGGAATGAAATTATTATTATTACTTTGTAAGTTACCAAGAAATTAAATTCTCCCCTCATTAACTACTCAGCCCCACCTGAATGGATTTTCCTCAAATTTTCTCCTCAGTTACAAACAAGTATTTAAAATCCTAAACATGCTAGGCCCATTCAACTTGCGCTACTGGAAAACCAAAGACACAAACTTCAAATTATAAGTAACTACGTTTCTTTCTCATTGCTGGGAAATAGGAATCAAATCATAACTGACTCTCTACTTGGGTTTCTTAAGCTATAAATCACACGGGATAAACCTGCTCATCTTCTCTCGTTGGCGGATTTGAACTACCAGAGAGGAATGACTTTTAATTCGCAGCACAATTCCCTACGGACTTCCCCAAAACTATACAGCCCTTTTAGCAATTCTCTGTAGAGCCATTCATTAATCAATACTGAAAAGACGAATTACTACTTCTCACTCTGAGAACATGGTTTGGAAAATAACTCTTTTAATCTTTTTTTCATTCTCTGACCTCAGAACCTTCCATTCAAGCATACTTAATCCACTATTCTTTTCCCTTTTCATATTTTTCTTAATTAAAAAACCCTCACAACTTTTTACTGAAGAGTAACTTTTATAACTTATTTGTCTTTGAATAAACAGAAATTTACCGTTTAGAAGCAAAATCTAGTTGGGTAGAGATTTTGGTATTTTGTGATCGCAAATCTGTTACTTGCTCTTGAAGCTTCTCAAGTTGCTCATTTTGTATCTTTTCATTATCTGCTTTTTCCTTTTTGAAGTTCTCGAAAATTTCCTGTAACTAAAAAGAAAAGAAATCATGAGAAGATGTACTCAGTTGCGCTAAAACCTAACTCAGTAACAGAAATGTAAACTTTACCTGTTTAAGGGCCGCCTTAGCTTCTATAGCTTCTGTGGACTCAGTAACAGGTACTGGTGTAGGAGTGGAAACAGACTGGGATGTACTTGTACGTTTTGCAGTTGATGTAAGAGAGGTATCATCTGAATTTGAAGCTTCAGGAAAAGTAATAAAGACAAATCAGATGTACAATGGGCTTTCTTCTAGGTAGCTATCAAAAGCCAAACCCAAACCTACTACTGACAAACTACTATACTGACTCATGGTGATCCTCTAAATGGATTTAAAAGGATATATATCTTCAAGATTTACTTTTTCCTCAAGCCTATGAACATCTGAATTCTTACAGTAAGCACTCTGACATGTTACATACTATGTCAACAGGCTCCTTATGTAACTACAGCAATACTAAATCCAGTAGGCTTTTGTTTTCAGGTGCCACTGAGTCCAGTTTGACCAATGAGCCTTTAAACAACAGATCTGAACCTTGTCCATCCCCGCCGTCTATGACATGTTCAAGTCCCTTGCTATCTATAGTCGCTGTATCAAATCCAAATGGCTGAGGTTTGTTCTCTCCTTTGCTAACCCAACCATCTTTCTAAACATGATGTCACTTCTCCAAAGAACAGGCTGGCCAAGCAAGATGCCTACAGTATGTAAGACAAATATTCATCATCTTTGCTTCCAAGGAACACTCTGGCTACACCTTCTAATTGTTTTTTTCTTTTGGCAGTCCATGGGATGTTCAGTGCCCTTCTCCCAACATCACAGCTCAAAGGCATCAATTCTTCTGTCATCCTTATTCACTGTCCAACTCTTAGATGCACAGCAAATGACTCACATCATTACTCCTCAATGATTTAGAGGTCCCTGACTGCAGACTTACCCAGTGCAATACATCTCTTAATTTCCTGGTACTAAGGATGTTTACTCTGGATTCAAGTAAAATGAAATTGTTCATTTTTCCTATCTATCCTAATGTTTTTTATCAATTCAGCGATGAGATTTTTATTTTTTTTGACTCAGAGATGCAATTCACATTTAAGGCTGTATTCTTGGGTCTTCTGGAATAACTGCCTTCAAGTCCTACAACCACCTTTTAGCAAGAAAGGTTCTGTCATCTGCATAATGTAGGTTTTACTGATGAGACTTCCTCCGATCCTGATGCCACATTCTTCTAAGATCCAGCTTCTCAAATAATTTGCTCAGCTCACAAATTATATATGGAGAAAGAATATAACCATGACACATATTATTCTAATTTTAAACCATGTAGGTCTGCACAACAATCTCCTGGTTTGGGTAAAGATTTCATATGAGCATAATTTAAATGTTCTGGAATTTCTATTCTTAATGTGAGCCAAAAGTAGTTATGATTCACACAATCAAATGTGCATCAACAAAGCAGAGACATATATGTTTCTGGTATTCTTTGCTTTTAGTCAGGATCCTTCTGGTATCAGCAATGATATCCCTGGGGGTTCAAGACTTCTTCTAATCCAGTTTGAAATTCTGGCAATTCTCTACATACTGTTCTAGTGGTTTATAAATTATCTTCAGCAGTATTATGCTTCCATGTAATAGAAACGATAAGAATTTGATAATTTCCAAATTCTCTTGGATCACCTTTCTTGGGCGTGAGAAAAAACATGGATCTCTTCCAGTTAAGTTGGTCAGGCAGCTGTCATCCAAATTTCCTGGCACAGACTGGTGAGCATGTCTAGGATTACACCTGTCAGCTGAAATGTCAACTGGTATCCTATTGATACCTTTTTTATTTTTACCAATACCTTCACTGTAGCTTGAACTTCCTTTATTGCCGTTGGCTCTTGATTATATGCTACTACTCAGTGTCAGCCAATTTTTTAGGGAAAATGATTCTATGAATTATCTCCACCTTCTTTTGATGTTTCTTGAACCATTCAAGATTTTGTCCATAGCATCACTCAGTATTGCAACTCAAGACCTGGTTTCTCAGTTCTTTGAGCTTGAGAGTATCAAGAAAGTTCCTCCCGTTTTCTTTTCAAATTCTAGCTTTCTAACCATTCCGTCGTAACACTTTGTTTTCTCAAGCTGCCCTTTGAAATAGCCTGCTTAGCTTTTACTTCAGCTTACCTTCCCTTTACTTTGGTTTTTCAACACTCTAGTGCAATTTTCAGGGTCTCTTCTGACAACATTTTGGTTTTATCTGTTTCTTCTATCTTTGTAGTAATCTTTGGTCTCTTCACCGATGATATCCTTCACGTCATCCCTCAACTCATCTGGTCTTCAGTCATAGGTGTTCAATGCTTCAAATTTATTCTTAAGATAATTTTTAAATTCAAGTGGAACAGAAACAAGATTCTATTTTGGTTCTCATGCTCTTGTTCTAATTTTATTCAGCCTCAATCTGAACTTGAACATGAGTAATTGATGGTCTGTTCAACAGTTAGCACTTGGTATTGTTTTGCATTAGAGTTTTTCAAGCAATTCTTCACACAGATGTAGTCAATCTGTTTCCTATGCAGTCCATCAGGTGAGATCCATGTGTAAGGTCACTGTTCGTATTTTTAAAAAAAATTTATTTGTGATAAAGAAATCACTGAACCTATGAAATTTGATATAATTTCTATGTCCAATCTTATTTTTGTCACCAAGTCTGTACTTTTCGAATACTATTCATTCTTCCTTGTTTCCAACTTTTACATTCTAGTCACTACTTATCATTAATTCATCGATTCCATGTTCAATCACTTTCTGACTGCAAATTTTGTTAACATCGTCAATTTCCTCCTCTTTTGTTTTAGCTTCTGGAACACCTATTTGAGTAAGGGTTTTGAGTAGGGTTTTCAGAGGCCTGCTATTTAAGAAATGGAAGGTAAATGCTGCTTCCTTATCTATCTTAAATCAGGGAGCTCTACTAAAACTTGTCTGCTAAGGTGACCGTTAGTGCATTTGACAAACTGGTGGTATAGCTTTCAGTATCACAAAGCAACCCACAAGTTACCTCAGCATAGCAAACTGACAGACAAGTGCTGTGCAATAAGAACAATGGTAATCAAGTAGGCTAGGCTTACGTCAATAAAAGATTATACCACCAATAAAATATGGAAATTTACTAAACAACCTATTAACAGTAGTTTTGCTTGGTTAAGCAAAACCAAGCATTTTTCTTATGTAGAAAAGTCAATCTCGTAATAGATACTATAGAACTATTAAAATAATATTACAAACCATTATTTAGAAACTTTTAAGATGGAATGGGAAAAAATTTACCTTGTAATGGAATAACAACTCCTGTTGTTTGTGACAACAAAATACGGTACATATCACGCTGACGAACTATAGAATCAACAAGCTGCATCTGATGTTTACGTGACTCACGGAGTTGTTCCAATTCAGTGAGAGAGCTTTCAAGTTTGAGTTGAAGTTCAGTGATCCTGTAAGAAACAAAATAAGTTTCACAGGTCTGAGATTAGGTTTAATAATTATCATCTTTACCGTAAAGTGATCAACTATGTTATTATCTTGCATTAAGCATGGAATTTTCATCTGCTTACCCTTCCTTTTTTCTATTGCTAATATTTCAAGAATTTTTTTTTATATATTTTATATGGATTTATTTACAAAGTTCAAATACACTATTTTCACACCGGGTCTTTCCCATTTCCTTCACCATGACCATCCATCAAATTGTGCAAGCCCATGATTTAAACTCCTACAATAAGAGACTCAAGATACCTTAAAATATTTGTCTGTAAAAAATACAATCAATTCCACTCAAATCAAATAGTAGTCTTCTTGCTTTTAAAGTTAATTATCTTCCACCTCCATCACCACCAATTAAAGGATGGGGGAAAAAAGAAAATCTATATTCTGCTTGAAGAATTCTTACATATCCATTACTATTCAGTTTAGTATCTTCTGCATAAAACCTTGTACATCCTCTGAACTCTAAGCTAGATTTTCACTTTAATGAAGGTGCTTCTATAGATAAAAGTGTTTTATCTACTCAAGAACTAATTACATTCTACTAAATCTAATTTTTCTCCACCTTACTCATACTGTGGGTCCTTTAGAGTAGAACTATTGTTATTGGTATGCTACTCAAGTTTTACTCCCCTGTAATTAACTACACTTTCAGTACACAACAGTTAAAATAGGGAAACCAGTGTCCTATGTTTACTTAACAATCTTAAGTAGTCAAATGCTTACTTAGATGAAGTTGTTTCTTGTTCTTCTCTTTCTCTTGTTTGTCCAAGTTCTCTAAGAGCCACTAAGAGTCGCTGATTTTGTTCTTGCAGCTCCTCAATATTTCTATAAGATACCAGATGCTGTGATATGACTTCAGATGAACTACTTATATCAGCAGAGCTTACTTCCTCATCACGAATTACATGGTTACCCCTTGCTTCTTCAAGTTCCATCAAAAGCACTCTAATCTAAAAAAATAAAAAGTTATAATGTTACCAAGTACCACTAGTTTTAATTCAGAAGTTGTTTAGAACATGAAAAGATTAAAATGAAATGCTGTTTTTAAATAATTTAAATTGATAGTTACATAAATTATGACCTTAAAAAAAGCAAACTAATTTTTAAGTATTATAATTCAATGATGATAGTATTAATGAAACAAATTTATTTTTAATTTATATACAAATATATAATCAAATAGCTGGGTTTTTTTGAAAAGTAATCAAATTATAGTATCAGAAAACTAGGATCTAGGTTGATTCTTTTAAAAACAATTACCAGACATACACCTATAAAGCCTTGTGTGTGCATTTACAATTTTAAGGCAAGGCAGGCACATAGCACAGAAATCAGATTTTTAAATAAAATAACAGGTATATAATTCTACTGTTGAAACATTTCTTATTGTGGGTTTAACAAAGAATTAGGTGGAAAAACAGATATAGTGTTTCTTAATTAAAAAAAGTAGTGGTAGAATATATATACATGCATGCATTTATACATATAGTGAAAAGATAAGTCTGTTAACTGCACTTAAAAATCAGATGACATTTATTTATCTTTGACTATTTTACTTACTAAAATTAATCTAAAAATTTATCAAACATTTCAAGGAAGAAGGTGGAGGGGGAGTAAGTAAGATGACAATACATTAATCTGCAAGTGTGCTACAATGTAAATAACTGAAAGTTCATATATGGTAGTTTTATCTTACATAAGCAAACAAATTTACTTGCTAAATGGATAGGTGTAAAAAAAGCATAATAGTATTACCAGGAAGTCAAATTTAAAAATTAAAACAGGCTAAAATTTAAGAAAACCCAAAAATCAAACCTAATTCACAAAAAATTCAAACCTGTTGTGAAAGATCTTTTATTTGTATTTTCATTCTTTGATTGTCTTTTTCAAGTACAGAAGTGTCTTTGTTTGCTTTATCTGTGTCCTCCCGTAACCGCTGAATTTCCTTTAAAATAAAAATTTTGTATTTTCTTCTTAAACAAAAGCAGATACATGAATAAAAATATATAGTGTGCAAATACCATGGTACTAAAGACATAAAAAATTCATTGAAATAATAATCTCTAGGTGAAATTCTATATAAATATTTGCATGCTTCTCAATTACACTACTACTACTTATTAAGTGAAAATAGATAATTTAGTCCCCCACTCCATTCAGTCAATTTGAATCTTAAAGCTACAACAAAGTCCTAGCTTATTATCAAATGATGTCACAAATACTGTCAAAAGCTTTGTTGACTCAGACAAAGACAGTGACTAGTAAGAGGTCAAATGAAAATACACATGAAGTAAAAAAGCAAAAAAATCCCACGAGGTAGATAAGTAAAAGACTTGATTTATAAAGAACATATCATCAGAAATTTAAGATGCCACAGACAATGTTACAAAGCTGAGACCAAGAGGTTATTTTGTGAAGTGTCAAAGCACACTATTATTAGCGATTTAGTGGCAAAGTTTTAAGGAGATTGTTATAAACACAAAATATCTCTGTAATTTTTAATGTTTTACTTGAAATTCAAGCAAATTTTGCTTCTTAAATGTATTCTTTTCATATAAACACCTCTTACTACTACTTTTAATAATAGAGAAAGATCATATTTTTGCAGGTGCTGAAAGTATACTAGAACATATTGTCCTAAATGTGTAACTATTTCAACAGGAGTAAAATACTAAAAATGAAGGGGGCAAAACCCCTTGAAAGAGTAGTAAAAATCAACTGAGTTAAAATGGAAGACGAAGAAGTAGTAATTTGGCTACAGAACAAAAAGAGCCAAATAAGTGTGACCGATTCGAGAATGGAAGACACATGATATATGTTTAGGATTGATTACCCTATAAAAATATAGAAGGTAAGACTCTGAACAATTACGAGGGGAAAAAGAGTCCTATTAAGGACCTTTCTATTACTGTTATTGTTAACAAAGAAATAAGGGTTCTTCCCTCCCCCTATGATGAACAGCTACTATTACTTGAATATTACTTTCTTCCTAGGGATATCTTCAAATTTAAGCAGAACCCCCTTGCTGTTGTTGTGGGGTGTTGTTGAGTACAACTCATTGTAACCCTAAAATAACAGATCTGAACCATGTCCTGTTCTGTGCTATCCTCATTATTACCTGACATACTCGACCTCAGTGCTCCTCCATTCCCTGTGTCAATCGATCTTGTTGAGGATCATCTTCTCTTTTGCTGACTCTCTACCTTTACAAGAATAATGTCTCTTTCCAAGATATAGTCCCTCCTAACAAAATACCCAGTGAACTCTGGAGGCTTAGTGGTAAAGAACTGCATTGCCAATGTAAAGGTCCATGGTTCGAAACCAACAGTACCCTACAAGATAAGGATGAGCCATCTCCTCCTGTGTGATTTTACTGCCTCTGAAAACCCACTGGAGGGTTAAGCCATAGGTCAGTTCTGACTTGATGGTATACAACAATAACCAGTAACATGCCCAAACTATGTGAGACAAAGCTTTGTCATCCTTCCTCTAAACTATTAAGTCCTCTGGCTGAACTTTCTCTAAGACATATCAACTTTCTCTAAGACATATCATTCATTATTTTGGTAGTCTATGGGATAGTCAGTCCTCTTCTCCAACATCAACATCCAAAGTCATCAATGATTCTTCTGTCATCCTTACTATCTGAACCCCCACTGCCACCTAATAAGCAAATTAAAAAATATTTCCAAAAAAAACTTATTAAACAGAACTATTTGAAAATTATATAGTAAGAGCTTAAAATAGCAAATAAAGCTTAGTAATGTCAATCAACAATGAGAAAACAAAGACCTAATTAGATTCAGGTACTTGTTTTCAAATTGGGGGGTTTGGGTAGATAGATGATATTAAAAAAAAAATCATTACTCTCAGTCACAGAAAAACCATGAAACTTTCTCTGATTTAGAAAGAAGAGTCTACGAGACACAATTACCTGAATTTGGGATAACTTCAATATTACAATCCACAATAGTACAGATTTAATTTTCAGTAAAAACTAAAAATTAACTTTTTCAAAGAGAAGGAAGACATAAGAACAATAGACGACACAAATTATTTCCTTGAACCTCCTAAAAATAAAAAAAAAATTAACTCTTACAGTACTAAGAGAATACTGTTTTCCAAAAATCTCTGATTAGTCATTAAAAAGTTGCACTACTAATCCAAAGGAGGCTTGGACTAGATGAAATGAGTTTGTGTTTGGTTTTGTTTTTAAATTCATTAACAAAAAAAGATCTTTATGCAGAACAGATTATCCAGGAGGCTTGGCTCTATGAGGAAAAATGTGGCATCAGGATTAGAGGGTAATTCATCAACAATCTGTGTTATGCAGATGATACAACCCTGCTTGCTAAAACTGAGGAGGACCTGAAGCAGTAGGTCAGGGACTGTAGTCTTCAGTATGGACTGAGGCTCAATACCAAAAAAACAAAGATTCTCACCACTGGTCGATTGGCAGCACCATGATGGATGGTGAAGAGATTGAGGTTGTTCAGTTTTAGTTTGGTTGGCTCCACAGTCAACACTCTTGGCACCAGCAGCCAAGAAATTAAAAGATGTATTGCAATGGGAAAGTCTGCAGTTAGAGACTTCGCTAAAGTACTTAAGAGCAATGATGTCAGTTCAGAGACTAAGGTGCACCCGATACATGCCATGGTCTTAGCAATCACTTGCTATGCATCAGAGAGCTGGTCAGTGACTAGGGAGGATAGAAGGAGAATTGATACCTTTGAGCTTGGTGTTAGAGAAGAGTATTGAATGTACCATGGACTGCTAAGAAAACAGCAGGTTTATCATGGAGAGGGTGAAGTCAGGCTGCTCCTCAGAGGCAAGAATTCTGAAGCTTCGTCTGACATACTTTGACATGTTTCAAAGGAGTGGAGGGACCAGTCCTTGGAGAAGGACGTCATGCTTGGGAGGGTGGAGGGATAGCACAGAAGAGGAAGACCCTCAATGAGATGGATTGATTCAGTGACTGTATAATGGGATAGGTGTGTCAGAGAGACTCAGTGAGATTGGCACAGGATAGGGCAGGATTTAGGGTTGTTGTACACAGGGTCGCTATGAGTTGTAGGCAACTTGATGTCACATAACAACAAAAGAAAAAATTCCAAGGAGAGTTCTGGTGGCCTAGTGGCAAGAAGATGCACTGCAACCCCAGAGGTACATGGTTCAAATCCACCAGATGCTCTGCCAGAGAAGGAGGGACAATCTCCTCTTGTACCAGTCAGATCTGATTTGACGGCACACACACACACACACAATTAAAAGAAAAAATTCCAACAGTATAAATTTTACGTTTAAAGTTAGCTATTAGAAAATAATGGTTAAGAAGTTATATAAGAATATTCTTGGCACTTCTAGTACCTAAAGACCCCTAAAATAGTAATAATCCTTAGAATTATTTGCCAAAATCTGACAGACTTTAAAAAGGCATACTTCCACAAAAACAGGCAATCAGCACTAGTGACCCCTTTCCTAGAATTGCTTTTTCAACTGAAAAATATCAGGCTCTAGGCGGTCTCTGAAGGTATCTGCTAGAAATCAAGCAGAGCTTTGAAAATAGGTGAGAACTTTAAAGAAACAGAGGAGTGAAAACAAAGGGCTCTGGTGCTGCAGACTTCCAGGGTTGGGGGTCCGAGTCTGCAAGGTGCTGCTTATGTGTGCATGCTGTTGAGAGTGCTTAATGTGGGTGAGTACAGCACACAGGAGCTCATGGACAAGCTGACAAAAGAGAATTAGTCTTTGTATTTTTAAAAAAGGGGTGGAGGAAGGGAATAGCCAAGACCCATCACTGGTTTTGTGGATTTGTTTAGGTTGACTGTGTTATTTTTATATTTTTGGCCCCTCCCTGGTAGATTGTCAGCAGTTAAGTGAAAGTTCTAGTGAAAGAGGGGAGGACTATGCTAGGAGGTCCCATATACATGTACTGTAACTTTGTTTATAGAAAAAAAGACTGTAAAAGCTTAACTTCACTTTTAAAAAAGGGGAAAAAAAGGCATACTATGGTACAACTATGAGCGGTTGTGCCACATGGTTAAGGCGTGTGATTACTAATCAAAAGGGTTACACTCCATAGGATGAAGATTTAGCAGTCGGCTTCCATAAAGATCTACATTCTACATTATTACAAACCCTATGGCGCAGTAACACACTATTATTTCAGAGCTGTTAAGTGTCGAAATTAAATCAATGACAATGGATTGTTTCCTGATTGTTGCTGTTGTTATGTGCCATCGAGTAGTTTGCGACTCATAGCGACCCTATGCACAACAGCCCTAAACCCTGCTCTATCCTGCGCCAACCGCACTGCCTCTGACACACCCATCCCGATTACCCCAGTCACTGAATCAATCCATCTCATAGAGGGTCTTCCCCTCCTGCGCTGTCCCTCCACCCTCCCAAGCATGATGTCCCTCTCCAAGGACCCATCCCTCCTAGCAACATGTCCAAAGTATGTCAGACGAAGCCCCAGAATCCTTGCCTCCAAGGAGTAGCTTGGTTTAATCCTCTCCAAGATGAATCTGTTTGTTTTCCTGGCAGTCCATGGTACATTCAGTACCCTTCTCCAGCACCATAGCTCAAAAGCATCCACTCTCCTTCTGTCCTCCCTAGTCATTGTCCAACTCTCTGATGCATAACAAGCGATTGCAAAGACCATGGCCTGTATCGGGCGCACCTTAGTCTACATTGCTCCTGAGTACTTTAGAGAAGTCCCTAACAGCAGACTTTCCCATCGCGATACACTTTTTGATTTCCTGACTGCTGGTGCCAAGAGTGTTGACCGTGGAGCCGAGCAAACTGAAGCTGTGAACAATCTGAATCTCTTTGCCATCCATCCTGACGCTGCCAACTGGTTCAGTGGTGAGAATCTTTGTCTTCTTGACATTGAGCCTCAGTCCATACTGAAGGCTGCAGTCCTTGACCCTTCGCAGCAAGTGCATGAGGTCCTCCTCGGTTTCAGCAAGCAGGGTTGTGTCATCTGCATAACGCAGATTGTTAATAGATCTTCCACCAATCCTGATGCCATAATTCTCCTCAAAGAGCCCAGCCTCTCGGATAATCTGCTCTGCACACATGCTGAAAAAGTATGGAGACAGGATGCATCCCTGGCGTTTCCTGATTAAACAGTACTATTTATAGACAAACCACCAGAATTGTTAGACAAAGCATAACACGCTCAGTTAGAATTCTATTATGAAGACATTACAAGATTGTTATTCATGGTCAACAAAAGCATTCTAAAGAAAAGAAAGTATAAATAGCCTTAAAAATATAAAATAATTTTAGTTAATGAAAGGAAGACATCTTGTGGTTAGATTTAATAACGTAATGAGCTTCCCATGGCATAATTACCATGTATCATGGAAAAAAGCTTATGTATATCTTTTTTTCATCTAAATACGTATGAAACTAGGTAAGTAATACCTTATCTGTATTTTTTAACAGCCAAAATTTAGTAATGTAACTAACCTTCATTGCTTGTTCAAGTTTAGCAGATAAACTTGCCACCGCTTTCTGTGCACGTTCATATTCTTCACGCTGGCGTTTCAAAATTGGTGCTTTGGCTTCAACTTCTTTCACTATTTCATCTAAATATTTATTAATTCTTTTGTTCTCTAGTTTCTCCAAAAGTAACTGATCTTGTGTTTCCATATAAGCATTATATAGCTGAAAGTATAAAAGAAATCTTTATAATCTTGACAACAACATAACCTGCCTAACTTCTTCATAAACATTGAGCAGTTATATAAGATTGACATGTTGATTATGTGCGTGTGTTCTATATAAGTTAGCATTGGTGGCTTAGTGATAAGGAATTGCACTGCCAACTCAGAGTATGACTCCAACAGTTGCTCCATGAAAGAAAGATAGGCAATCTCTTCCTGTGCAATTTGTTGTGTCTAAAAACTTGAAAGATCATCTATGAGTCAGTTTCACCTTGACAATACATAACAGGACTAGGTAGTCAATAAACTCTTTCTTAGGATATTTACTGTATCAAATGATATAAGAATATTTTTAAAGGAAAATAATGCTTCAGAGAGAGCTGAGCACTACTGCTAAAGAGAACTAGGAAGATTTAATACCACTCTTACCTCAGTGAATTTCATGCCAGGTTTCACTATCTTAGCGACAGCTGCTGCAGTAGGAGACATGGCTGCAAGCTCTTCTTCCGATAAAATGGCTCCTGTGTCACATACACAAATTTAATCTCTGTTGTGAAACATTTTGCCAACTCTAATTTATCACCATTTTCTTTCAACACAAGTAACACTTGCTTTGTGATAATATTATAAAGATTCTAAGATATAATCATATAAACCCAAACTATTAGAAATTATGTAGTAAATATATGTAAAACTATCATGGAAATTGACATTATAATTCTGTATGGTCAACTAGTACTTAGATAACTCAATAAAGAATATTAATTTCCAAAAATGCATTTTAATAATCTACTGTAACATAATTTAACATAATTACCTAAATCACAGAATAGTGGAGAAATATTATTAGTCAATTATGTAAGGTAGTCCTAGTATTTAAAATAATATAACTCTCCTATTATTCATACCTTTACGTTTTGTGGCAGAAAGTAGGTCATTTGCATTTTCTAGTTCCTTTTCCAGTTTCCCTATTTTCTCAAGCATTTCTTTTTCCATTTGATCTTTAGATCCTTCCACTTCTAGAAGATGATCCTGAATAGCTTTGTTGGCTAAAAACATTTTTGAAGACAGAATATCAAACAAATTTAATATAGTCTGGCAGCTCACAAAATGTTTTTGTTACGTGTCTGCAGTTGGAAACAACAAATTAACTGACCCTCCAGCTAGTTTTCAGAGGCTATAAAATGCATAGGAGACAGCTAGTGGATTCAACCTGCCTGTCATTTAGTTGGTATAATAATTCCTTCCCACAAAGCCACCAAATTTCAAAGGCTAGTCTGAGAAGACAAAGTGTCAAAATGAAAAGTGCAAAAAGCTTGAGTTAGAAAATGAAAAAAGGAAGAGTTAGCTCAGGATTTCTCAAGCTGAAAAATAGAAGAACAAATACATGGCCTGAGAAGGTTGGGCAATCTCCTCACATGAGATTCATTGCCTCTGAAAAATCTGCTGGATACTCGGTTCCGATGACAGTACACCACCACAACAACAACATGGGCAAAATCTTCAAGAAAGCGGGAAGCATCAAAAAGAAGATGGAAGAGTTACTCCACCTAAAAGTGACTTAGGGAACTCTAGTGGCCTACTGGTAAGAAGCTGAGCTGCCATCCCAAAAGCACATAGTTTATTTAAAGCCACCACTGTTCCAGAGGAGGACAGGAAATCTCCTCCCATGGTCAGAGAAGTCAGCAGAGAACTGTCAGATATTTTAGCTGGATTTATAAGAGGCTGTGGCATGAAGGATAAATATTATTGATTACATCAGATGGAAGAAGAGAATACTACAAGTATGACTATCTGACTAACTTTGAAAAAAAAGGGATTCCAGAACACTTAGCTGTGTTCATGTGAAACCAGACCTATATCGAGACTAAGAAGCTGTAGGTCGAACAGAGCAAGAGTATACAGCATAGTTTAAAAATCAAGAGAAGTGTGCATAAAGGCGGCATCTTTCTCTAGACCTATTCAATTTGTATGCTGAGCAAATCCTACAAAAAGTTGGACTGTATGAAGAAGAATGATGCATCTGCGATCAGAGGAAAACTCATCATCAGCCTGTGTTATGCAGTTGATACAACTTTGTTACTGAAAGGTGAAGAGGACATACAGTACTTGATGTGGAAGATCAAGGACTACAGCCTACAATACAAATTACATCTCAACATTAAGAAAACAGAAGTATTTACTACTAGACCAAGAGGCAACATCATGATATATGGAAAAAGGATTGAGATTGCCAATGATTTCGTCTTATCTAGCGCCACAATTACCAGCAATCAACAAATCAAAACATGTCTTTGCATTGGAAAAATGTGCTGTCACAGACATTGCTAAAGAGCAGTATAATTGAGTTTAAAGACAAGGTGTTCTGGATCCAAGTCATGGGCTTGCTTATATATTATTTCCTTTGCAGCTGAAAGTTGGACATTGAGTAAGGATGACATAAGAAGTGATGCCTTCAAATTTTGATGTTGGAGACGAGTACTTATTATCCCATGTACTGTCAAAAGAACAAGTCAGTCTCTGACAAGGTGCAACCACGACGCTTCTTAAAGGTAAAGATAGCAAAACTTCATCCCATATACTTTAGGCATGTTGTTAGAGGGGCCAATCCTTAGAACAAGACATCTGTGCTTGGATGGTTTTATGGAAAGAGAGGAAGACCTTTGACAAGACGGATTTGACACAGCAGCTGTATCAATGGATTCAAAGAGTATCAGAGATGATTAAGACAACATAGTAAAGAACAAGGTTTAAATCCGCCATTCACAAGGTGGCTGTGAATTGTTATTTGATTGAACTTAAATCACCAGACCTCCCAATAGTATTATTACTCCTCTCTGCAGCAGACATTAAATTCTAGAATGGTTGCCAGCAGATAATACCAACTGAAAGCTCTCTCTGTGATCCTACTTCCTTAAGGGTCGTTATTTAGTAAGCATGTTTTTTCTTTTGATGAATTTTATTTATAGTGCAAGATAAAAAAAGGTAAATTGGGGGGAAAGGTTCTAGGTATAGATTTGATTTCAATTCTGAGTTTTAATGTGATGTATACAAAACAGATCTACGAGACCATAACATAACTACATGGTGGCTTAGTGGTAAGTAACTGTATCACCAATTCAAAGGTATGTCGTTCAAAGCAACCAGGGCCTCTGTAGAAGGATGGGAAATCTCATGCAACTTAGGGTCTCTGAAAACCTGGATGATTAGCTAAGAGTTGGTTTCAACCCAATAGCACATAACAATATGCTAGGAACATTAACAATATGCTAAAGAAAAAAACCATTTAAGGAAATGTAGGACTTTGCAATATTCTATTAGTAACATAAAATGCCTTAAACACTGTTGTGTTTAAGCACTCAGCAGGAAAGCAAAAAGCCAATCCTTCATTCATATCCGTGGAAAAAAGATTTGGCGATCTATTTCCATAAAGATTACAGCTTTGGAAACCCTATAGGGCAGGTCTATTCTGCCTAACAGGGTCATTATGAGGTGGAATTGACTCAATGGCAACAATCTTTTTAAATATGTAATAAGCACGACTTACTTATTGATTATTCTAACTACAAATCCATAAGTAGTAATAAAAGCGTAGGTTTCAAAAATGCAGGGTAATTTTCTCATTAGAAATGAGAAAATCATATATAAAGCTATGAAATGAAAGAGTGAGCAAGAGCCATCAATTTCTTCAAATATAGCATCTGCAAACATATGATTATACACTTCTTAATGCACAGCTCTTTTATATGGGTATTTTACTCTAATAAAAGTTGCTGACATTGGGGTGGGGGTAGGACTGAGAAAAACTGGATAAATTATGTTTACTACACTGAAGCAGATGGAGAGAATAGTTTAAAATTAATATAGTTTAGGGCATTATGATTATCA